ACATGGAATATAAATGACAATCACGTACTGAGACTTATATCAAATGGTATTCGTAATTTTAGCATTCGCAAGAGGGCGCGGCGTTCATTCGCGTGCCGAGGTGCTTCGTTTGAGTTCGAATCAATGAGGACCCGTTTCGCTTGACTTCCTTTAGATTATGCACCGTTTATGAGCAACTACGATTGCTTTGTATACTTCTGATTCGTATGATTTGTTTTAATTCAGAGTGACGAGGAATTCTAATTGCAAAATTATCATTCCCAGTGTAGCTGATTTTAAGTAGCACTTTAAAAGCGTTTCTATATTAGAGTAACAAGGCATTATAATTGCAAGATATAATTATTATTCTACTCGACTAATTAATGTCAGAGGCTTATTTCCAAGAATTAATAACAAAATAAAGGATTTCTATGTTCACTATATCTATAATATATTACCAATCTGCATCATCGTAAATATATCGATAAATGCAATACAACAAACAACAGTATTTACATGCATGCTTATCTGGTAACACTTACCTCTAATTCACTAGTGGAAACAAACTTTATCGGTCTTATAACTAATCTAGTTTCGGGGAGACAGCACATCATTAATAAAATCATCGTTAACTAGAATACTTTACGGTAATATAAGTAAACTTTTTTATGGTGTAGTTTCCTGAAAGTGACAACTGACGAAGGAATATGGCAACTACTGATTTCTTGGTTGCTAAGAAGTTTAGTCATGGTAGTGAATATATTTCACAGTAGCATCGGCCGACTGGTTTTGAAAGACCGTCATGATTCGCTTGGAATGAGAGAGAGAGAGAGAGAGAGAGAGAGAGAGAGAGAGAGAGAGAGAGAGAGAGAGAGAGGGGGGGGGGAGAGGAAGGGGCGAAGTGAGAAAGAAAGAGGGAAAGAACGAGAGAAAATAAGAGTGAGTAAGGAAAGAGAGAGAAAGTGACTAAAAATAAAGAGAAAGAGAATAAAATAAAGAAAAAAAAGATAACAAGGAAAAGAAACATACACATGTAGAAAAATAGAAAAGACACACATACATACACACACACCTACCATAAACCCAATGTCAGTAAATACATACATACATACGGATACATACATATCATAAACCCAGTGCCAATAAATACATACATACGTACATACATACATACATACACACCTACCATAAACCCAATGTCAATAAATACATTCATCCATCCATCCATCCATCCATCCATCCATACATACATACATACATAAATACATACATACATACGAATACATACATACACACCTACCATAAACCCAATATCTTGGAAAACAGCCTGACCCATTAAGCCTTATATCTACTCTCCTTTCACACCGTCATGAGAACACGCAAGTCACAAATTGGTGTCCAAGGCTTGCTACGTGAAATTTAAGTTGTTTCTGAGGGATAGGTTTGAAGGAATTTCTTTTTTTTTTTGCAACAATCTAAAATGCAATTGAGCTAAAATTGGTATTGAAGTGTTGGTTGAAATTGTATGTGCATAGAGTAAATATTTCGTGTAGATTTTATTTATTTATTTACTTTTTTTACGGAAACCAACACCCACGAACGAGATCAAGGATATGTTTATTAAAGAAAAAATAAATTTAAACATAAGGAAAGAAATATAACCGATACGATTTATGTACATGCATGATATAAATCCCCCAAAAATAGACTAAAAATACGCTGTTACCCTCAGACATTGAAACATGCAGTGTAGTACCGTAGACTTTTTAACGTTTTACGAATTTTATTATTTCAACATTTATTAATGCTACACTCATATAACTCCATTTATCGCGAAATAGATTTTAAAAAATAAAAGTACTTATAGGCTGGTATGAGATCCTACTGTATGGTGATATCTATTAATATTTCCCATTTACATATATTCGTACATAAACGCGTATTTGAAATAGTTTCTTCAATTTTTTTCATAACTATTATCGAAATACAATGATATACATTAATACATGCAATATTTCATACCGAAATACAACTAGAATGAATTAGTAGATATAATATTCTCTCCCGCAATAAAATAAAACTACTTACAAAAAAAAAATGTATCATCATATCAGTCCCTCGCTTCCCCCTCGAGAATCACATAAATGTTATCTAGAGCGTTTAAAGACAACAAAATAGGCAGATCACCAGGTCACCATCAGATAAAAAAAAAAAAAAAAATGCTTGAAGGTCATCCAACGAGCAGCTTGGGTACGACGGCTTCGCCAGGTGACATGACCTGACCTGTGACGTCACGAGAGCTCTCATTCTCCCTAATGGAAATCGAGGTTTTTCTTTTTTATATATATGCTGTTCTTCCTTCTTTTAGCTGACCATTATGCCCCCTGCGCTCTGGAGGCCATTAGGACAATCCAGGTCTTTGTTCCTCTGGACTTTTTGAATTGTCGAGACACGCTTATGGATGTGTTTGAATGCTGAGGTCGCTGCGTGTCTGTTTCTTTGTACATCTGGCTACGCGCGTGCATGTCTGTATGCAGGTACGTGCATACATGTATGTACATTTTTTATATGCACGCACATACATGCACACATTATATATGTATATAAATATATATATATATATATATATATATATATATATATATATATATATATATATGTGTGTGTGTGTGTGTGTGTGTGTGTGTGTGTGTGTGTGTGTGTGTGTGTGTGTGTGTGTGTGTGTGTGTGTGTGTGTGTGTGTGTGTGTGTAGACATACAGATGTATATGAATGTAGATACATCATTCCTATAAATGAATAAATGCCTATATTATCAATGATATATAAACATACTCTACGTCAATATATCTGGCAGTCAGTCACGCGGCACCTTGAGACACACCATTAATTTAAGAAAAGCGATTCCCAGAATTCAAATATTCATGAACTCTTTTAATTATTAGAATAATCAATCGCGTGGTTTTGCGAATTTTACTTGCATTTACGTGTGCTTTAAATAATATTCATTACGTAATGTACAGTACGAAAGATTAAAGATTAGGCGATCATGCGGATAATGGTTAATAGTTAAAGCAAGAAAGTGTTAAATAATACGGATATAAAGGGAATATAAAAATGAATATTTGGAACGAGTTCATAGTTCCTTGAAAATCTTATCGGATGTCCTAATTTGGGATTATTTTTGTCTATCTCTCTCTCTCTTCCCCTCTCATTTTCCTTTCACTCTCTCTGTTTCCCTCTTCTACACTATTTCCAACTCTTTCTCTTTCTTTCCCTCTCCCCTTCCACCCTCCCCTCTCTCTCCTTTTCCCTTCTCTCTCTCTCTTTTCCTTCTCCCCTCCCCCTCTCTCTCCCTTTTCCATTTTCTTTCTCTACCTCTCCTTTTCCCTCCCCCCATCTCTCTAGTTCTTATAAACTCTCCAGTAGCTCTTCGCTGCCGATCAAATTTATGGCGGGAAAAGCGTCAAGCCGAACCGTTTTCTTTAACGGAAATTTTCTCACGCGCGGAGGCAAGAATCTACACTGACTAATCTAACACTAAAGAGAGGACAGGATGGAGAGACAGCGAAAGTGAAATACTTAAAGGAAACAAGATGTAACGAAGGAATAAAATCAGATGATATAGGCTATTCCATAATTTTTTTTTTCTGGCTGATGCGGAGATGCCAGACGGGCGACATGGTAATGAACATCAGCATAAAAACATATGTAAAATGTGTAAATAAATAAATAAATAAATACACACACACACGCATATATATATATATATATATATATATATATATATATATATATATATATATATATATATATATATATACAAGCATACATATATATGTGCATATATGCAAAATATATATATATATACATATATATATATATATATATATATATATATATATATATATATATATATATATATTTCGACATGCACATGTATGTGTTTGTATATATCCCTATGCCTCCGGGAAAATGAATTAAATGGGAAAATGCTGAGCTCATTTTCTATATTTTTTTTGTGAAATGTCTGCACATAGATGGCTCTGCTAGTGCTTAGCCACAAAAACGTCAATTATTAGGCCTTGTGACCTTACGTGATTTGAATTGGCAGGAAAATTTATTTTTTAATAGTGATATGAATATCGATGGTGTTATTTTTCTCATAAACATTATAATTACTATAATGTTATAAACATTAGTAACAGCAAAATAAGATAACGTAAATCATTTTCGTAAATCAAAGAAAAGGGTAAACGGGCGAGACAGGCAGTACTCGTAACTAGCTCATTGGTGACTTAGTACAAGTGTAGCCATCTATGGGTAAAAAAAAGTACTCACGGTGGGCATAGCACATACGTATACGTCATGCCCGTCGGTATCGGGATATACATATATATATGTATGTATGTGTGTGTATTAAACATGAAACATACACATACACAATTTTTTTTTACATATATGTATATATATATATGTATATATATATATATATATATATATATATATATATATATATATATATATATATATATATGTGTGTGTGTGTGTTTGTATATGTGTGTGTGTGTGTTTGTATATGTGTGTGTGTGTGTGTGTGTGTGTGTGTGTGTGTGTGTGTGTGTGTGTGTGTGTGTGTGTGTGTGTGTGTGTGTGTGTGTGTGTGTGTGTGTGTGTATTATATTATATAAATATTATATATATAATTATAATTTATATAGATATATATTTATACGTATACTTATATTCATATATATTTATATATATATTTATTTATACATATATGCACATATATAGAATATGTGTGTTTGTGCATATGTGTGTGTGTATGTATGTATGTATGGGAGAGAGACAAGAGAGAAGAGAGACAAAGAAAGCGAAAAGAGAGAGAGAGAGAGAGAGAGAGAGAGAGAGAGAGAGAGAGAGAGAGAGAGAGAGAGAGAGAGAGAGAACTAGACAGAAACAGAAAAGAAATATTTTTATCCAATCCCTCACTCACCACGAAGGTAGAGAAACGCCCAA